CGCTGAAGCGTCGACCATTTCTGGCTGGCAACTTTCAGCGTCATTAAGCCGCTGTGCCACCACGTCCCCCTAAACTTGTATGCTGCATGACCCTAAACAACTCTTAACGATGAGCAGCTCCTGCCTCCCCACATAAAGCCCTAGATCTTGACTGCTTAGAGCCAGAGGGGACACTTATTGAGGCTATACACATAAGTAGTTTGATTTGTCCATGACTTGTAGCATTTTAATTAAACGCTTTCTAGCCATTATCTACTTGTAAGTTCAGTGAAAAAACATGTTTCTCACACATTTTACCACCAATTTGTAGAACTATGTGAGAAAACTCAGGATGGCAAAACAGCTATCTACTGGGAAGTGAAGTTCCCCTTCCCCTTGGCAAACAGAGATGTATCCTTTCAAGTCTTTGACTGGAGTTTTACTTTTAACTTTAATAGTTGCAAACCTTGTTATGATCCCAGTTCTTCTCAGTTTCTGAAAATTTAAATGGTGTACAAATTAATCCTTATTAGAAACTAAAAAAGTAGGACCTTGATACATGCTTTCATTGAACCATGTTTCATCTTATACTTTCTGAAAAGCAAAATAAGCAATTAATTTTAAGTCCAAAAATGCAAATTGAATCTATGCTCCATAAATTTGGAATACTTCCAGACCCATAATGTATCTTAAATTTTTAAATCCTGATTATTTCTTAAACTTCAGTACAGTATGTTTTTGTTCGTGAGCGTCAAGATATGGACCTTGATGGGCAGAAGATCTATGTTGTATTGGCTAAAAGCGTGAATGCTGTTAAATTCCCAGAAAAGCCTGGGATTGTTAGAGTAAAGAATTATAAACAAGGTGTAGCCTTTGAAAGTGATGGCAAGAAAGGGTGCAAAGGTAAGATATCAATATGTAACTTTATAGAATGGTTACTCTGAGCAGAAAATTTAAATTTCTAAATCAGGATTATGAAAAACTTCTATATACCTCTGTAAAAATTAATCCATGTCTTTTGCTAAGGAATTGGATAAACAGATTGCTGAAAGAATGTGTGCAAAATAGTATTGCAGACCTACAGCCAATGGTTTAGCTCATAAATTCCGATACAGATATTCTCTCTCGCCAGCTAACCAATCAACAAACCATGAGAGATTCTCTCCATTTATCTTTCATCTCATTTCTTTCTGCTACTCTTTGTCTCCTATCTAGGGATTTAAAAAATCTACCATAAATCCCTCTGGTAGTGAATTTGAATATTTGCTGCTATCAGATTTTTCATGGGATGCCTAATAACTGAAAAGTAATTTGGCTAGCAAAAATCATGTGTGTGTTTGTGTGGCAGATGGGTTGTATACACTTTTAAAACTGTATGTGGTGGCCAAGGAAGTCTCTTCTACCTTTCTTTGACTTTTAAAATGCCTGGTGCAATCACAGCAGCACCAGGCTCTATGAAGAGTAGAGATTTTCCCAGAACTTCCTGGATTGACCATGTAACCATGTGAGACAATTATGTAAAATCAAAGCTTGCTGAAGAAACATCAACAGACTTTCTGGACAGGTAATTTCTGCCTCACTGACCTTTTAAAATTCTTTGAAGGTATCATTAAGTGTATGGATAGGGATGATCATTAGATATTGAGGGGCTTTTTGGACTTTTACAAAGCTTGCCAGAGGTTCCTGAGCAACTCACCATTATGGGATTGGAAGATTGGTAACTGGTTAAAGAACAGAAAGCAGGAAGAAAAAATAAGTGGCTTTAAAATGGGACAGTAAATAGCACTTTTGCCACATTCCATTTGAAAACTTTTATGGGCAAATTGAAAAGCAACAAGATGGCTAAGTTTGCTAACCATAGCAGATTAGTTAGAATGCTTAAAACAAAAAGGAATGTCAGTTCTCCAAAAAGTCCTTTCTTCACTGGAGCATGGGTGTGGTAAATATAGTTCAATGTAAATTTAGTTAAGTGCAAACAAGCATGAGGAAATGCACATTTGAGAAGAAAAATCCACACATCACATATATGCTGATGAGGTTTGCACTAAAGTAACTGAGCAGGAAAGAGTGTTTGGGCATATTCCGTAAGCACTTTTTGAGAGGGCACACAATTAAATGGCAAGCACTGGGATAGGGTGAGGTTGGAGCCTGAGAACTGTATTGCCAGATGTATAGGAGACTGTTGGTTGAGACGCCAGGTTTGGGGTTTTTCTGTTTTCCTGTTTTTTATTATTGTTTGCGAGCCACCCCGAGTAGTGTTACATAAGGTAGGCAGCCATATAACTCTCATTCATTCATTCATTCATTCATTCATTCATTCATTCATTCATTCACTGCAGGATCTGATAAATAGCATAGTGGAAGCATTTAAAGGAGATTGGACAAACTGATTGAGGGAAGGATTATCAGTAGCTGACAGTCGTGATGACAATCTATTTTTTGCAATATCAGAAGCCATCTATCTCTGAATAGCAGTTGTGGAAGAAAAACTGGATAGTGCTGCCTCATCATCCTGCTTATGGATCTGATTGGATACTAGGAATAACATACTGGGGAAGATAGGTTTTTAGTGTGATCCAGCAATTTCTATGATATTATGACTCCAAGACTAAGGTTATTTATACTTTAAATGGAGATGCCATAATAATCTCCCCTTCCCTTCCCTTCCCTTCCCTTCCCTTCCCTTCCCTTCCCTTCCCTTCCCTTCCCTTCCCTCTC